CCATTGTGGATTGGAATGAGAAATGCTTTCTCCCAGGTTTGTCTCTAAGGAGAGTCCCCTACCCCTCCCATTGTGGATTGGAATGAGAAATGCTTTCTCCCAGGTTTGTCTCTAAGGAGATTCCCCTACCCCTCCCATTGTGGATTGGAATGAGAAATGCTTTCTCCCAGGTTTGTCTCTAAGGAGATTCCCCTACCCCTCCCATTGTGGATTGGAATGAGAAATGCTTTCTCCCAGGTTTGTCTCTAAGGAGAGTCCCCTACCCCACCCATTGTGGATTGGAATGAGAAATGCTTTCTCCCAGGTTTGTCTCTAAGGAGATTCCTCTACCCCCTCCCATTGTCATCCACTTTGCCATCTAAACCCACCTTGGAACAGAGTCACTGAAGCATCTCCAAGAGATGAAGCAGTACCGGGAAATTAGGAGCAGCAAGGACTCTGTCACCAATAGGAAGGCGGCCTCACAGAGCGCCACGAGCTGGCACTGGCCTGGCCGGCACAAAGTAAGCAGGATGAAAAAAGAAACCAGACAGCAGGCGAGTGACTGTTGACACAGGAAATGTAAACCTTAGCCCTGCACTTGCACTTTTCCAGCCAGTGCTGTGCATCAGTTACTGTCAACATTGTTGAGCTCAGAAGGGCTCAGCCTCATTTTGATGAGTCGACTGGTTCTAAGAGGCAATCTCATTTTATTTTAACCGGTGTTGTTTTTTTTTTTAAATTGCTTGCTTATGTGGGGGATAGGGCCACTTTTGATACTATTCAAACTGCAGAAAGTAGCAAGTTGGTGACAAATGACCCATAACACAGGAAGAAAAAGTGAACATACCACTGTCTGTTGCAGGAGGAAACTTGGAGATCACCGAAATCAACTTCCTGCTTGCCAGACAGGGAAACCGAGTCCCTGAGTGGAAGACTGACACTGGAGGAAAAAGGGTTGTGTGCAAGATCACCTTTCCATGCCTCCCCTCCTCACTTCAGATCTAATGAAGTGCCTCCTCACTTCAGGGAGTCATTGAAAATAATTCAGCCTCATTCTTAGCCTGGTGACATTGCAGGAAATCTGTGAGCAAGTGGTGTTTAATTTGACCTGGAAAATCATTTTTCCAAAAGATACCTGATCTCTTTGCTGTGTCATCTCCTGGTCCCTACAGATAATTTCCCTCCACAGAGCAAACGGACCCCGCGTCATCCAGCCTCTGCATGGAGTTTTCAGGAACATTTTCCACTACTTCCTGCTGCTTCCTCTACAACCTCTTCCTGGAAGTTGCAGGCACCCATAGGCAAGGACTCCCTACGCTGCCCACTTGCTTTCACACATCAGGAGATCAGGAGCCTTTGAGGCATCGGCTCCCCAACATCTATTTAGAATCCCGGGGCAGCTGCGTTTACTTCTGCGTCCAATACCTCCAGGGGAGTGGGGCAGAAGGGCAGGTGATTGCCCATTAACTGGTCACCCAGCCACATCAGGATGGCTGGCCGTGGGGACAGCTGGCTTAGCCTCTGCCAAAGGGGAAGAGAATCCAGCAGCCCCAGAAGAAGGCAGTGCTGACTCCCAACCCTGAGTAGATTCACATCGCAGGTTGGGTTGGTCCTTCCCGGAGAGCTCTTCCAACAAGCCATGGCTCACCCATGGGCATCACTGACTGGCTAAGGAGAAATATTAAATACAAGTGGTGATGGCTCCCTCTAGTGGGCAGACGTCAGAGAGCAAATGTGGCTCTGCGTCTTCCAGCAAAGAGGGAAGGCTCTGCTGGACACTACAGGGCTGAGGTATGGGGCTCAAAGATTCTCATGCCTAGACCTCAGGTCACACACACAACTTCTAGAGGAAGTTGCGTGTTGGTTTCTAGAAGTTGTGTTTGTTTGTTCGTTCATTCATTTGTTTCATCATGTCCAGCGCGTGGAGGCCTTGGCCACAGAGACAATCACTCTTGATCTCTGACTGTAGCCTCACTGTCAGCCACAGGCCAGCTTGAAGCCAGAGCTCTCGGAGTGCTGCTCCCCAACCCTGGACACCTCTTCAGCCCTGCCTCACCGTGAACCAACCACTCTCCCTTCCCTGAAGCTTGCTTTCCTTCATTTGCTAGAGGGTGTGGCGTGCAAGTCCACCAGCTGACCTCCTGTCTCTAAAGTGCTTTGACACACGAGGACTCCATAGAGATGACTGAATAAATCATGGCTCATCGTTCATCTAAGAGGCCGCCAGCAGGATCGTTCATGGCCTTCTACACGTGGAGGGAGCCCAGCAGCCACGTGCACTTTCATGAACGTCACCACGCTTGGCTGTTGCGACAGCCATCAGATTCACCTTATCCCCACCTCTCCCACTTCCCCCCCAGCAACCAGGTTGGCTCCATCTCTCTTAGCTCTGAGATGGGGCTGAGAGCTGGATCCTCCTCTGCGGCCCACAGAGCCAAAGAGTCCAGACCCAGGGTTCAATCAGGGCTGTTGGCTTGGTCTAGGAGCCCCACGAAAATAAAGCAGAGAGTTCTAGACTTCCTTAACAGAAAGAGAAAGTCTATGCAACCCATCCCGTAATAGTGATGATAATCATGATGATGCTAACGCTTATGCCGGCAGGTACGGGGAGCACTATACTTACAGTGACTCATTCGATCATCACAGCAACCTTACGCCACAGGTCATCCCAAAACCTTCCACTCTGACCGGGACGCAGAATCACTGCAGTAAGAGCCAGAGTCACCCGGTTGCTAAAAATGCCTGCCACAGAGTGTGGATGCTTAACAGGTTTGCATGAATCTCCCTAGGCAAGAGGAGAGGGCTTCCATTCTCCAGGAAGATCCCAGAAATCGGTTCACCCTTGGTTATTCTTACCACGGTTACTAATCTCAGAATTACTAAAGTGGGAGGAGACACTGGAGAAGATCTGGTCCATTTCCCCGTTTCCCGATGAGCTAACTAGGCGGCCAGGATGTGGAGTGTTGATGTGAAACCACAGTGAGGTAGTGGCAGGGCTGCAGCTGGCCTCCAGGGCTTTATGCTTCAGCCCAAAGCTTGTTCCACTCTCCCATGTTGTGGCCACCACGTACTCGAGTGAATGAACAGCCCCAAGATCTCCCCTTCTAAGGCCCAGGAAGCTCCATGGCCGTCAGCCAGCCCAGCTGAGCTCTGGAAGCAGAATCTTTCCAATATCAGCCTACAGCACATAGGAGTGCCCTGGCAAATTGGTTCCCTGCTACCTCACCCTGAAAATAAAGACAAGAGTCACCCCTGGAGTGACGCATTCCAACGACAAGCAGACAGCAGAGAGCAGGGACAGTTGGAGGACAGCCTGGGCCATCAGCCCTCTGCTTGCAGATGCTGGGTGGCCGTCCTCCATTATCTGTCCACTCTGGAAGAGACCACCCTGGCCTCTCCTCAGGAACTATGATGGAGGTGTTCTCAGCCTCCCACTGGCTTTTCTTCTTTCCTCCAGAATGGTTTCAGGTCCTTCTGCTGAGGCCCTCCATGCACCCAGCTTTCCCTTCCCCACCACCTCTACCCCAGAGTATTTGGTCTCCTACTTCCCATTTTGGAGTAGCTTCCACCAGATGTCACTTGCCAGCTGGAGTCAGTGCCAGTCATGTCCCCAACTTTCCTAGGAGTGGCTAGGTGGGAGGAGCACCTTCCAGATAATCTGTCTCTACTGCTCTGTCGCCATAGACTTGGTGGCACTTCCCTGGCCTGAGAGCGCTTGGGGTTCTCTAGCTACTTTCTTATGGGTGCTCTGTCACATGGCCAGCCAAGAAGCAGACCTGGCCTTCTCTAGTGTGAGTATGGAGAATAGGAATGTGAAGAAGGCAGTGAATAAAATTGGGGGTGGGTGTGTGAAGGGCAGGAAGGGTGAGAGACTGAGAATGTATCACAGACGCTCAGATGCCTCCCACCCTGACTTGGGGTCAGGAGGACAAGCAGGGAAGGGCAATGGCAGTGCCCCCTCCCACTGGCTTCCTTGAGAGAAAGGTGGAGGCTGGGACATGGAGTCAGGCCCCATTAGACCTGTTAGGAAGCGTGGAGGAGGGTAGGCTGACATCAGAGCCTGTTTGGCTGGCTAGGATTGCCCCGCAGGTCAGCCTCTGGGAGCTTCTGGGAGGGGCAGCAACCAGCCTCAAGCGGCATCCAGGGATGGGGATCTGGCCTCCAGGACCAGTTGCTGGCTTGGCTGCCTTTCCCTTCTTCCACCCACCACTCAAGTTCACCACCTTGGAGACCTCCTGGCCTTCACCTTCTCTCATGCCCCCTCCACATCCAGTTCCTCCTGTTGGCATGCTCTGCAAAATGATCCAGAGCTGTCCATGTCTCACCACCTCCACTGCAGCAGCCTGGTCCAAACCAGCCTCAAGCTCTCTCCTGGATTGTTCAAACAGCCTCCTAACTGGTAATTCGGCTGCAATTTACATCTGGTCATATCCCATCTTTGCTCGGAACCCAGGAGGAATGGATTCCCCTCCAACCCAGAGTACAAGTGAAGTCCTGCTGCCTCACTGCCTCCTGCAAGCCACAGTGCCCTCCTTGCTGTTCCTGGAACATGCCAGCCATGCACCCACCTCAGGGCCTTTGCACTTGCTCCTCCTCTGAGGACGTTTCCGACCCTCCCCTGCACCACACATCCCCCTTGGCCTCATTCTGCTCTTATTGCAAACATTACCTTGTAAGTCCTACTTTCCGAGTCTCCCCTGCTTTAAGCTGCTGTCCACTCCCCATCCCAATGCAAACACACACACACTCCTGCTGTACTCTCTAGCCCCCTTGCTTGATTCTCCTCTTGCCTATATTCACCTAGCATACAACATATTTTAATTATTTATCGTATTATGTGCCTTTCTCCCCAGCCAGAACCCAGCCTTCGTAGGGGCACAGGCTCTTCTTGCTTTTTTTCATTAATGAATCTCCAGCACCTAGAAAAGTGCTCAGAACGTAGTAGGCACTCAGCAAACACTTGTTGAATGAACAAATCAATGTTTGACACAGTTTAGGAAACAGACCCTCACAGGAGATGTCAGAATTGTCGGGTTTATTTAATAGGAAATTGATTGGGGTTTTCTAGTAGAGTCATTGGGTTTATTTAAAGAAGGCTGGCAGGGAAAAGGGTGTGTATGTTTGTGTGTGTGTGTGTGTGTGTGTGTGTGCTTGTGTGTTTTTCAGGGATGTTTGACAACCACTTTTACTTGTAGTAAACAATGTGTGAGCCCCTGATTATTTGTATGTAAGTGTTTTAACTGTATGTATTAACCAGACCCAACACTTCCTTCCCTTACTTCCTCACTCATTCATTCACCACACATTTGATGATTGACAGTTCTGTATCAGGTGCTCTCCTAGACACATGGCTAAGGCTACGGTCCCTGCTGTCTTCTGCAGCCTGATAATGAAGCCGCAGCACTGAGGACAATCTAGGAAGGTGTAGGCATTAAAGCAACCTGGAGCCCCAGGTTTCCTAATTTTCTTTCCTATTCAGGAAAGTCATCCTGATCCTTTGTTTTGTCACAAAGAGGAAAAGATACTGGAATGAGTGACTAGCCGTGGAATGTCCCCGACCAGAGATCCTGGAAGAGTACAGGACTTGTTTGATTGTTGAGAAGTAACGTTACCCGCTCCCAGTGAGGACAGGCCGAGAGAGACAGCCATCAGCTACAAGAACAATGTGGGTGAACAGAAAGAATGTCCTTCTGGTACCTGGGAGACCCTGCACACAGCATCATCTGGCCTCTGGGAAGTCCACATTCAAAAAAAATAACTCTGCCCTTGATATTTGCCCAGGCATATGTGTAGCAGAGGAAGATAACTCTTAGATCATGGGTTATGCACCTTGCCTTCTTGCAGAATGTCCCCTATCTGTGGCCCAGATCACCACAGAGGGTGATCAAGCCCTCTTCCCGGTGATTCGAGAGTGGCCATCACATCCCCCGGTGCCGTGAGGATGCCGGAAAGCAGCAGGTGCTCTGAATCGTGGATACCTGCCTGCTCCTGGGGAGACCACTGGCTTGTCTGCCTCACCTGGTCGTCAGTGTTTTCTCAGGGCATAATGCACAACCTCTGAGACTTTGCCATGTATTTATTTGTCATTCTTCCACAGCCACCCTTGTCCTGGGTGGGTCTGCAGCATAGCCATGCACCTCCCAGAATCCCCTGACCACCCCATAGCTGGTCTCTGCCCACATCACCAGCTTTCACCCTCCCCCTACAGCTTCACCCTGACATTCTGGGCCCTGTCTTTAGGGACAGCGGGTCTGGTCTCAACTCTTTCTGGCTTGGTTTCTGCTCATGGGAGGCCACCAGACGGGTGTCAGGCCAGATCACTCAGTCAGTCTTCTGAAGAAGTTGAGGGTCCAGCCGCTGTCAGAATTCTATGCGTAGGTGTTCTTTCTTGAAGCACCTGCCAGCATTTTTCCTGCCAGGGATGAACCAGAACAAAAGGGCATGCAGTTAGTGATACCAGGGTACATTGTGTGAGGGAGGGAACCCAGAAACCTGGGAACACCAGTGTCCTTCCTCACCCTGCTGGCGTTTGCTTCATGCTCTCCTACCGGGCCCCCATCTCTAGACTCTCTGGTTTGCTAAAACCATACCTTCCACTGCCACCCAGTGAACCCCAGCAACTAACCAGTGACTCTGAGCTGGTGCAACCTGAAGCCATTTCTGCCCATGTTGTCCTTAATACTGCTGTCATTAATTCTCCACCTTTAATGGCCCCGGGGTCCTCTAGAGTCAAGTCCAAGCCATGTGTCGACTTCCAGGCCCCAGAAAGCACAGTCACATCTGATCTATCCAGCTGGTCTCACCGCTCCTGGACACCCTCACTGCCCACATGGTCCCAGGGGCCCCTCTCGGACACTCAACCTGCACCAGCAACAGGCGTGTTCCTCCCTCCCTGAAAGAGTTCCTGCCACCGCCTGGCTCCTCCTTACCCTGCCCCTACCCTGCCAGAATGTTCTCGAGTCTTCTTCCCACAGTGCTGAGTCCAGTCCCTCTAGGTCAGGCTGAACCCTCACCCCCAAGAACCCCTCTGGCTGCCCCCTCATGACTGATCTCTCTCTCTCTGCTCTGCACTCCTGCTGCCTTTACCATCTGGCCCACACAGTAGGTATGCGGTGATTTTCTATTGCAGTGCCTGTGAGATGTGCTGCCCCAAGTCCTGTGTTTAACATCCGCCTCTCCCGTGGCCTGGGCGAAGGTGAACTCCTCTCGCTGTCATCCCTGACACAATCCATGTGTCTCTGTGGCTACCACAAAGCACTCCAAGAGCAAGCCAACGTCTGGCTAAACAAGCAGACCAGCAATCACTGTCATTTCTGTTTCTGCACGTGAAACAGGAGCAGCAACATTAAGGTGTCCGTGACACTGCTTTGAAAAAGGTAAATAAGATTTCCATAACCTCCAGTTGGCATCATGATTGTGCCCGTGCAGTAGACTTCTGCAGAAGGGAAAGACTTCATATGTGTCATTTCAATGATTTGGGAGCAAACCCAAAGGTCCGTAACGTGGAGTAACTTGTGATGATACTGAAGCACAAATGTAAATGTAAAGCCTGGTGTTCGGGACAGTAGTTTGCCTGGAGACTGTCACTGACCCTCTGGCATCAGACTCACAAGGACATTGTCCGGGGAGCTTTTTACTGGCTTCGTCAGCGTGCAATAGCTCTTGCAAAGTGGCAGGAAAAAAGAGCAAAAATCTCTGTGTGAAATTCCAGTGGCCATCAGGCGAAAGGTGGCACCTTAGCAAATGGTCAAAGTTTCTTTGATTGTTTCAAAGTAAAATGAACAGAAAACTCATTACTCTTCGCACATACATGTGATTAAGGAAAAGCCTGCACAAGCACTTTTGCATTCATAAATGTGGAGTTCTGTCAGGTGCCTGAACACAAGTTCCAAATGCTAAGGGTCATTAGACTCAATTCTCCTGCCGTCAATGTAAATTACATGTCAGGAGCTTTCTCCCTGGACTGCTCTATGGCTCCACCTACAGTATGTTCTTAGGGAATGCACCATAATTTTTATATGAGTCCACAGAAAACATCACTGGAGAAGTCCATCTGATTTACAGTTTAAAATGGCAGATTAAAAAGTTGGATTTTTTTTTTTTTTGCTCTCTCCCAGAACCCTCGAAAATAACAGTAAAGGAAATTTTTACAGAAGACAAAGGAGGTAAATTACAAAGACAATCAGAATATAAATCTCTATAAATCAGAATAGTGGATGAAATAGTTAAAAGCCAATTTGCTGATGATGGAAAGCCCCTGGAGGAATAGCATTTGACTTGGGAGAGGGGCCAGACTCAAAGCCTGGGTCCCTGCTGATGCCAATGAGATACAAGTTGACTTGCCCCCAGGAACGCATAAAGGCTGAGGAGTTGAGCGTGTCGGGTATAACAGAAGCAGGGCTGGAAGGCAGGGCTAAGAACTGGATGCAGTGAGACACACCTTTTCAGGTCTCCTTTGCAATCTCACAAAGCCAATTTGTTCTGGAGAAACTAGACCAGAAGGGCCTAGACTCAAGGAAAGCTGGCACCACATAAGGCTCTGGAGGAACCGTACTGAAAGCAGGGGGTTAAGTATGAGGGGAAGTCAGATGCTGAATGGTGAGACAGTTGGCCGCTTCCCCTGCTCTGCTCCCAGGATAATATCAAACAGGGAGATAGAGAATTTTTTCCTGGAGAAACCAAAGGATTCTGAGAAAAAAAGCCTGTAGACACTGGAGGCCCCCAGCGAGACGGCCTGACCCCAGCTTCATCCCTCTGCAGTGAGCTCACCATTCCACAAGCCCCAAAGACGCAGAGATTCCAGTAAGCTTCTTAGTACTTCACTCATGAAAATGAACAGAGATCCTCAAATTACAAACATCTCAGGAAAGCCTCCAAAAGGTCAAAACCAAAGGCAGAAACTCAGAGAAAACAGAAAATTCCAGAAGCAAGAAAAAAACTTCGCATATATTAAAAATCCTCGGATAAATAAGATGGAATATTTTAACCATGAAACAAGAACAGCCTTCTATTAAAAAAAAGAAGAAAGAAAGAAAGAAAGAAAAGAAACCACCCAAGAAGAAGAAAGTAATTCTTTGAAAATTAAAAATATGACAACCCAAATAGAAGCTTCAATAGAAGAGCTAGAAAATAAAGTTGAGGAACTCTCCCAGAAAGTGGAATAGAACTACAAAGGAGAAGAATAGAGAAAAAATAAGGAAATTTGAGAACCAGCCCAGGGGATCCAAAGTCTAATAATAGAGTTAATGAAAAAGAGAATAGGCAAAAAAACATGAAAGAAAATTATTAAAGAAACAGTTTTTTAAATGTTCAAGAATTGAAACCATGCATTTCCAGACCCAGAGTGTCCACTGAACACCCAGGACAATGGATAAACATAGACTTACATCAAGGTATAGCATCACGAAATTTAGAAATTAGGATAGCAGATTATTTTATTTTATTTATTTTTTTATTTTTTTTTTGAGACAGAGTTTCAGTCTTATTACCCGGGCTGGAGTGCAATGGCCCGATCTTGGCTCACCGCAACCTCCCCCTCCTGGGTTCAGGCAATTCTCCTGCCTCAGCCTCCCAAGTAGCTGGGATTACAAGCACGTGCCACCATGCCCAGCTAAATTTTGTATTTTTAGTAGAGATGGATTTTCACCATGTTGACCAGGATGGTCTCGATCTCTTGACCTCGTGATCCACCAGCCTCGGCCTCCCAAAGTGCTGGGATTACAGGCGTGAGCCACCGCGCCCAGCCCGGAGGTGGTGTTCAACCTCAAATGCTATCCTCATCTCTGCTATTACTTATAGCTAGAGGACTAGATCGTCCTGGAGTAGGAGGACAGAGTGGCCCCGGAAGTCAAGATGAAGGTGAGAGAGAGCCTGGTGCATCCGCACTAGGCAGAGATTATGTTTCTGGTGGGAAGTTTGCTGAACCCCACTCTCCATTTGGGTATCAGTGATAGGTATACAGAAAACTAAATAATGAAAAAGAAGGGCCGGGCGCGGTGGCTCAAGCCTGTAATCCCAGCACTTTGGGAGGCCGAGGCGGGTGGATCACGAGGTCAAGAGATCGAGACCATCCTGGTCAACATGGTGAAACCCCGTCTCTACTAAAAATTACAAAAAATTAGCTGGGCATAGTGGTGTGTGCCTGTAACCCCAGCTACTCGGGAGGCTGAGGCAGGAGAATTGCCTGAACCCAGGGGGCGGAGGTTGCGGTGAGCCGAGATTGCGCCATTGCACTCCAGCCTGGGTAACAAGAGCGAAACTCCGTCTCAAAAAAAAAAAAAAAAGAAAAGAAAAAGAAGATATTCAGTAGCTCCAGAAGAAAACAAAAGGAGTACAAGAAAGAAAAGAGAATTACAGCACTGTGCATTAAGTGGCTTGAGGAGACAGAAGAGACATACTAAAGTAGGATGAACACTGAACTATTTATTAAATATGAATATTTATTAAACTATGTCATTTATACTTCAGTGGGCTGAGAAGGGTGTGTGTCTATATTGTGGGGAGTAACGGAGGGTGGTGTGAGAAAGCTAAATCCTTATCTTCCATAAGTCAATTTTCTTAAGACTTAAAAAATGAAAATTAAAAAGCGATGTGAGTGTGTTATGGGTCTCGCATCCCTAATCCCAAAATCCAAAATCCAAAATGCTCCAAAAACTGAAATTTGTTGGTGCCAACATGAAATAGTGACCTATGCTTTCTGGTGATTCAATTTACACAAACTTTATTTCATGCACAGTTATTTTAAAATTACCTTCAGGCTATGTGTATAAAGTGTATATGAAACATAAATGAATTTTGGTTTAGACTTGGGTACCATCCCCAAGATATCTCATTATGTATATGCAAATATTCCAAAATCCAAAAATCTCTAAAATCTGAAACATGTCTGGTCCCCGTATTTGAGATAAAGGATCTGCAACCTGTACTGAGAAATCCAGTGGCAAATCTAGAAGAAACAGCTAAAGAGTTCGAAGAAGTTGTTTCGAAAGAATGCAAGATAGGGATGAGGAAGGGTAGGGCAGGGGATTATTATTGTTTTTGTAAGCCTTATTAAAATATTTTACCTTTCTGTGCTTAGACTAATATTCTAATTTAAAAGAAAAGAAATGACACATGAAAATGTCTCCAAACCGAGTCTCTAGACTGAAAAGCCTGAGTTCTGAGGTTGCCAGATTTCTCAAAAACAAACAAAAAGGAAATTTTATATAGTGAGCAATCTTTTAGTATAAGTACATCACAAACATTGCAAAAAGTACTCCTAGTTTATCTGAAATTCAGATTTAACAGGCATCCTCTGTTTTTTCTAGGAACCCTATGCCTGATGTCTAACATATCCACAGCAATGCACGTAACCACAATCGCAAAGCACCCACAGAGAAAACCTTAACCACCTCCAGAGGGAGAGAAGTTCAC